GGGGGGGGGGGGGGTGGGGGGGGGGGGGTGGGACGGGGTCTGGGGGTGTGGGTGGGATGTAGTTGTGGCCCCAGGCATGTGGGAGATGTAGACGTTTGTTCCTGACGTGTCTGACACTCAGATTTGTATGTTGCAGGACACTGTGCATCATCCCGCTGCGCTGCTATTCCGAAAACTGAGCAATCCCGATCTCTTCTCTTCTACCGGGAAGGTGAAACTTCACCGCCAGCTGAGCCAAGATGACTGCAAGCTCCGCCGAGGAAGCCTGACCGGTACAATAGCGGGTGAGTGTTCCTTCTCGTGATTTGTGTTCTGTCTTGCAGTGTCTTCCCTCGGTACACTTTTGTCATTGACGCCAGTCGGGCATATGGCGGCACGGCTCCGCTCTGTACGGTTCTTTCTTTCTATGGCGGCACGGCTCCGCTCTGTACGGTTCTGTCTTTCTATGGCGGCACGGCTCCGCTCTGTGCGGTTCTGTCTTTCTATGGCGGCACGACTCCGCTCTGAACGGTTCTGTCTTTCTATGGCGGCACTACTCCGCTCTGTACGGATCTGTCTTTCTATGGCGGCACGGTTCTTTCTATGGCGGCACGGCTCTGCTCTGTACGGTTCTTTCTATGGCGGCTCTGCTCTGCACGGTTCTTTCTATGGCGGCACGGCTCTGCACGGTTCTTTCTATGGCGGCACGGCTCTGCTCTGTACGGTTCTCTCTATGGCGGCACGGCTGCGCTCTGTACGGTTCTCTCTATGGCGGCACGGCTCCGCTCTGTGCGGTTCTCTCTATGGCGGCACGGCTGCTTCGGAACTCTCCTTCATTGCAGCTCCTCCATCTCTGGTTCTTATTCCTCATCTCCTGCGATTCCCTTGCGTGACATGTTCTCTCCCGGCGCCCCGCGTGTAATGATTTGGCATTCGTTCCGGACAATTCGTTCTATCACCGTCATATTTTGGAAATTTGCCATGTAAACACAAAGTGATGAGATTCAGATGGGATTGTTTTCTCCATGAAGTGCGAGCCAATCAGCCGTGCTGGGGAGCCTGGTACCAATTACCGGAGATGTTCATTTCGGAGGGCCGGGGTGTCTGGATTGAACCCGCGGCATTGCTGAGAGGTGATTGGGAGATTCGACCTGTTCACACAGGATTATTCCCCCACCTGGCTCGCAGGTCCGGACACGTCTCAGCCACGTATCCCCCTCCAGTCGGAGCTGCGCTGCCTCTCCCGGTGTCTGGCCCGCAGCAGACGACGTGCACCTACAGCGATGATTTACTAAAGGAGTGGAAACTGCTCACCGCGCAAAGTCATTGTTCCTCTGGCTTAGGGAACGAGGTGGAGCTGTGTTTACTTCAGTCATCAAACCGCATGTAAGCAGAACTCCTGTGTGCAAGTCTTCATCGAGTTCATTCTGTAACCGCTTCCCAAACATTCAGACATGTTCCTCTATCATAGACAAACGGGCAACCCCTCCCC